TTTAATACACCTTCAAATCCTTGATAACCTTCAAGACTTTGAACTTAGGGGTTTTACCTAAATGAAACCCAAAAGAGATCTGAAGGGAAGGAGGAAAATAGCCAAAGCAAGAGACCGAAGAAGGAATAAACTTTTCACGTCCAAGGTTAGAGGTGGCAAAGGAGCCATGATTAGGGTTCCTCTGTCACGCAGTGTCCCTTCTGCAGCACTTCCCACCTTGTGCAGGTGCCCAGGGACCTCCTCATCCCCGCCCTGAGCCGCAGCTGAGATTGGCCCTCACAGAACCTGAATGCCACTTCTCATTTCTCAGTTTGGCATTTCTGAGCAGCTTTGAACACTGACATCTGAGTTTTCCCACCCAGCAGCCTCCAGGACACTGAAAGATCTGAAGCAAAGATACAGCCAGGAAAAAGGAGCAGAAACCAAAATCCTCTGAGGTCAAAGCACTTTTGTCTAGAGATTTTCAATTAGATCAGGACATGCTCTGGCTGCTTTTCCTTGCTGCGTTCATAATGCAGATGAGCTTCATGTCAGCTTGGCCTCCTTTCCTCCTACCACGTTGGCTCCAGCTTCATTTCATTAGCGATGGCCTGCCTTCATTAGTGAATTAATTCCCCAGGAATTGCACTGCAATAAACCCTACCAGAGCAAGGACCAGCAAAGCCACATCTTGGGGCTGGCTGGACAACTGCAAGTATTTTTTGGACAAAAAGGATATTCACAGAATTACTAAAAAACAAACGAATTTTATTCAAATCAGACCTGGAATCTTTGAAGCTTTTTCAACCAAAATAAGAGGAGATGTTTTGTGAGTGTTAGATTTGGATTGACCAGTGGGTTGGAGATCTAGGAAATGAGCCCTCGTCTCTCTCTTGGGAGACAGACCCCAAGACAAAAGTCAAATCAATAGAAACACAATGAATACGCCACTCTCCATTTGTTTTCAGATGTGTTCTGATATGTCAGATGGCCATGGGGGCTTTGCCCACTCAATGCCAGACACCTAAAGAGCCTGTCCTGGGCTGAGGTGGTCTCCCTTGGCTGCAGCGGAGAGGCATGCAGAGGTCTGGCCACATCAAGATGTGGCAGAAGAAGTTGAATCTAGTCTGGGAATGATGAGCAAAAGGGAAGAAGGGTGGATAGTGTCCTTGGGGTGAGGACCCGGGGAGCATTTCATGATCTCCTGGAGAAAAGAGGCCTCAGCATCTTCCCCCCGTGACTCCATCCTCAGCCCAAGAAACTTTGACTAAAACATCTCCTGGAGCATCCCATCACAAGGCAGCATCTGTCCCTGGAGGAGCTTGCTCCATGTCTCCCCGTTAGCTCTGCACGGCCCTTGAGGACAATTTGTCTGCCTCCGCCTCCAACCATCACTTCTTGCTCTTCCTTGGGGATGCAAACAGCACTCTATCAATAATTGATATTTTGCCTCTTTGCATTATTTTCCAAACCTCAAAGACATTTTTATTCCACACCAAACCAAAGCTCCTGCCCATCCCATTTCACCGGCATATTAGTGAGGCTGGATGGTTGCTGTGCTCCCTCCAGGCTCCTTTCGCCTGGCCTTGGCAGGACATCCAGGAGGACTTGGGGCGATGCCCATCTCTGTGGGGCAAAAACTGCCAGTGAGGGAGGACAGGAGGAAAATCTAGCAATTATGGTCAGGCTCAAAACCCCACAGACAAAGGAAACAAACCCAAATTGTATGACGATGGTGGTGACTATTATCATGGATGTTTTAGTCGCAGCTGTTAATAAAAATAACAGTAGTAATAAAATTGCAATGATTCTAGCAATTGTTCCAATGCTGCTGATAATAATAATAATAAGATTATTTATTAATTGTGAGCCATTATCAGCATTTTCTAGTGCTTCTGCCTCCCAGACCCATCCCAAGCGCTAGCCCTATCATATTAATGCAAAATGAGGTAAATAGGAAAAGCTTTTTCTTTATGGCATAACCAAGGAAGAAACACGGGAACAGCAAAGTCTGTCCCTGACCCCTCTGCTAATTGCCCCCCACCAAACGCCCTGTGCCATGGGGTTGAGCATTAGGTGGGATCTTGCATTCCCTCCTTTAAGTAGGGTTTGCAGCCTTCAGAGCAGCTGAGCCCCATGAGAGCTGCATGGTCAGACCCTGTGGGGTGGACGGAGGAGGAACTCAGAGTCATTTTATGGCTTTTGTCATTCTCCATGTAGGGCTGACAGGGGACATCGGGCACACGTGAGCCCCCGGGGAGCACATTTCCCTTCAGGGTGTTGCAGCTGCCTCTGCCCTTGGCTTGTTGCTTGAAGGAGCAAAAGGAACAAAAGCCCCAGCTCCAAATGTTACTGTTTTCTATGGATTTTTCAGGTTCAGCCATGGTTCCTGTGACCGTGGTGCACACGTGCAGGGGGATGCACGGACAGGCTTTGCTCTCAGCTGCCGGCTGCTTCTGCAGTGCCGCGCTTAAGCCTCACAGTGCGAAGTGAAGCAAGGAGCAGGGAGAGCCAGGTCCTGATGCTCAAACTGTTGTGTGTGTCAGGCCAGGCATGTGCAGCGAGGTGGCGGCGATGGATGTGCAGCAAGGAGGAGGGACGGATGTGCAGCGAGGTGGGGGCATCAATGTGAGGCAAAGAGGGATGGATGTGTATTGAGAAGGGATGGATTTGCAGCGAGGAGGGATGGATGTGCAGCAAGGAGGACAGATGTGCAGTGAGGAGGTGGGAGGGACGTGCACTGAAGTGGGGAGGTGGACGAGCAGTCAGCAGCGTGTGGGGCAGTTGTTCTGCTATGTGTGTGTTATACACTCTGGACCATGTGAGCTTGCGTGCATCCAGGGACCTGAGGTCTGCACGACCTCTGCAGCTGTCCTGATAGCCATCTGCAACAACACACAATGTTCTGGAGCTGCGGAGGGCCGGGACCATCTCGGCTGGGCCCCCTGCAGCCATTCCCCATCTCCTCTGCTTTGGCTGCAAGAGTGAACATTGCATCCCTTCATCCGACCCTGGTTCATGACCAACAACAGGGTCTCAGTGCTCACTCTGTCCCCTGTGCTCCCGCAACACAGGCATGAGGGCAGGGGGAGAAGGGGTGGGTGCTCTGGGAGCAGCTCCGTGCCTGGGTGCTGGCTGCAAGCCCTGGGAGGGTGTCTGGGGACCACGGTGGCACCGCTGCTGCTCAGCAGCCTTGTCTCTCCAGCGATGGCTGTTGCACAGCTCTGCAGGGCAGGGAGCACCTGGGATGGCAGTGTGTTCAGCAAAATCAGTAGAAGACCCTAGAAACCTGAGGAGTGGGGAGATGGGACATGGCTTGCAGGGATTGCAAAGAGGGAAGGAGCTAGAGCAGAGGAGTCGGTGCTCTTATTTCTAGTGTCGCCCCCCCCGAGCTGATCGAGCCTGGGGAGGTGGGAGTGGGGTGTCACGGCTGGAAGGGCACATCAGCCCTCCCCAAGGACCTGTTATCAGTTGACGTGGGGTGCACAGGCCAGCACACAGCCTCATGGGAGCCTCCGGTATCCCTCTGCCACCCGCCGCTCCCATGGGCCTCCCCCACTTTTCCCTTCGCTTGGCCCACAACACTGGTGCTCTCCTACCACCCCTCGTCCTCCCCATGCCCCAGCTCTCCCTGCCCTGCGCCTTTCTCAGGGTCTCCTGCCCTCTCTCCTCCTCACAAGGAATAAATCACCCTCCGGCTCCAGCCTCGGATCTCAGAGGAAAGAGCAGCCTGCATTGCCACCTCCTTCCCACGGGACCTGGCTGCCTCTGCGATGCTGGGAATCTTTTCCCAGACCAGAGGGGGTTCATTCAGGAAAGCTGTCAGGGACCGATGGCTCTGGACCCTCTGGACTCCTGGGACCCATGTCCCACCCTCTGCCCTGTGCACCTCCATGTTCCCACCCTGACACCTTGCCCATGAGATGGGCCTTGAGAAGGGACCTTCAAGGGGGAGGGAGAGTGGGTTTGGGTCCTTGGCTGTATTAAAAAGCCCCAAAATGCTCCATTTTTTCACCACAGGCAAAAGCTGCAGACACGCAGCAGGGAGCTCTCAGCATCAGGATGGAGATCCAGGTTTGCCAGTCGCCCCCACATGGTCCCCATGGCCGGGTTAACACCAGCATCACTGAAAAACCCAGCAAACAGTCAGAAAAACGTTCTTTGTTCAGCCCCCTCCAGTGGAAAGCAATAACACTTGGGCTGCGAATCTTCTTGGCCTCCAAGGAGAAGCTTTCCTTCGAGGGCCGGGGGGAAAAATCAACCTAGCAGGCTCCGCTTCCCGCCTGGAGAGCTCTGGAGAGACGAGCCCAGCCCCGGTGTGCTCCCCAGTGCCATCAGGGAGGGAGCAGAGCCCAGCCAGAGCACAGCTCTCCTCCTCCTCCATCCTTTGGCACCAGCCCATTAGGAAAGAGGGTTTTGTCGATCAGCCCAGCACATTAGGAAATGAAACAGGCTGTGCCCAGAAGCTTCCCCAGGGGTCCATTAGCACTGGCAGATCCTTCCTCCAGCCCGGCGGGTCCCAGAGGATGCTTTTGCTGGCGATTTCCTCCCGTGGCGCAGGGGGAATTGTCTGGGACAGGGTGCTGGCAGGGCTGGTGCATGAGGGGAGGAAAGGGTAACCTGCTGCTCTGGGTGTAGGGTGCTCACATGTAAGGTGGGCTGCCGGAGCGACATGAAACCCCTCCGGATATGAGGGTGGAACACGCAGGCACGATCCAGGTTGCTAATGCATTTCCTGGCTTGGCATCAACCCCCAGAGCTCCAGGATCATGTCTGAGGTCTCTGCCCACCTCTGGGGCTGGAGGTGGTGGTGGGAGACGGAGTGAGGTTCCCCAGGGCACAAGCAGAGAAACCAGTCCGTTAACGCATCTATCAGGACAAGCTGTTACCGATTGCCAAGGGAGTGAGGAGCATTGCCATCTCAGCATGGGCATTGCCACCCCACGTGGAGCAGTCTTAACCCCAGGCAGAGCATCCCACTTGTGTTTAATTCTTTCCTGTGGTTTTTGTCTCCTCCACAGTTATAAGAGCGTGGTGACACCCCGGCGGGCAGCAGTGGCCATTGCTTGCTGTTGGATCGTCTCCTTTCTGGTGGGACTCACCCCTATGTTTGGCTGGAACAACCTGAACAAGATGCGGAGGACTCAGGAGCTGAACGCCAGCCACACAGAGTTTGTCATCAAGTGCCAGTTTGAGACGGTCATCAGCATGGAGTACATGGTGTACTTCAACTTCTTCGTTTGGGTCCTGCCTCCCCTGTTGCTGATGCTGCTCATCTACCTGGAAGTCTTCAACCTCATCCGCAAGCAACTCAACAAGAAGGTCTCCTCCAGCTCCAATGACCCCCAGAAGTATTATGGGAAGGAGCTGAAGATCGCCAAGTCATTAGCACTGGTCCTCTTCCTCTTCGCGCTCAGCTGGCTCCCTCTGCACATCCTCAACTGCATCACCTTGTTCTGCCCATCCTGCGAGACGCCGCACATCCTCACCTACATTGCCATCTTCCTCACCCATGGCAACTCGGCCATGAACCCCATCGTCTACGCCTTCAGGATAAAGAAGTTCCGGACAGCCTTCCTGCAGATCTGGAACCAGTATTTCTGCTGACCAACAAAAACGCCAGGACCACCACAGCCGAGACGGGCAACTAGGAGCTGGGAGAGAGCAGAGAGGGGTCCTCCGTGCCCAGCCCGGTCCCCATCTGGCCACAGTTCCTGCTGTCAGGGGAAGGGGTGGTGAGGACCTGGAAAGGCTGGGTTCGCCAGCCCTGTGCAATCCGAACAGCCGTGTCCCCCAGCTGCCCCAGGAGGTTATTTATTCACAAGCATCGTACTGTTTTGATATTGTAGCCTGCACTGTTCCTTTCCTTTTTTTTTTTCTGTTTGTTTTTGTTTTTCATTTTTTTAATGGTTGCCAAGTATTTAAGGAGAAATTGTACAGACAAAGGCGCAGTTTATCTTCATGCAAATAAAGTGAAATGATAAAAACCACCCAGGAGGTCCTCTGCCATTGATAGAGACCTCTGGCTCCTTGGAGCGCGGCAGTCGGTGATGCTGGGGGCACCTCACGCTCTGGCCCCCCATCCATGGACCCATGGGGGTACCTGGGCACTGGGGCAAAGGTGTGCCCCGGTGGGAGTGAAGCTGCTGAGAACCAGGAAAACCCAGGGCAATGTGATTTCTGCAGCTCTGAAGCTGGGAGCTTTCAAGCCCATTCTTTCCCTTCCATAACCAGGGAGAGGTGAGCTGGGCTGAGACATGGGAAGAGGTAGGAAAAGGCATCCCATGGCAATGCCAGCACCCACAGGGTGATGAACCCACCATCCCCACAGAGCAAAGGGTCAGTCTCCAACTCTCAACGCTGCCAGAGAGGCAGGTAGAGGGAAAAGGAAACTCAAGCATAACCCCAGAGTACTCTGCAAGAAGTACCCTTTGCTGCCCCGATGGCTCCCCATGGACCCCAGCAGCACCCACCACCCCTGCGAGCTACACCCAGGGAGCTGTGTCCCCTCCATGTGTCTTCTCTCTCCTTTTACTTTGGCTTTGAGTCATTTTTCCCTCTTTTCTCCTGCCTGTCTTCTGTGCAAGGCAGTAGCAAGTCTCCCAGCCCCTGTTTGTCTCATCCTCTCCCATGTCACTCCCTACCACCCCCCCCGTGCAGCCAAACCCTTTTGACCCAAGCCTTGTGTGTTAATGCAGCCACCTCCATGGCCCAGGGGAGCAGAGAGGCACCTGCGCCCATTTGGGGGCAAGTGGGGGAGGGCTGCAGGCCACTGTGTCAGTGTTGATGCTGCCACAGGGGCATTCCCCCCCGCCCCACGCAGGTTTAGCCATGGGCAGGGTGTGTTGTTGGTCACATTGAGGAGGAGGTGGCTGGAGATGGACCATCACCCCCACCCAGCTCTGTGGTCCCTATGGATGCTGGCAGCCACGCTGCCAGTCCCTGCTCTGCAGCAGGATCTCTTCCAGGGCTGAAGAGGTGGTGGGAAGAGTTAATCTGAGTTAATTGGGATTCTTTTCTTATCAGCATCCCTTGTTCACCAGCCTCCCATTGGAAACACACTTTCTATGACCCTTCCCCTGCCCCAGGAGGGTCATGCCCCTCGGACGTCACCAATGGGCAAAGTGACTGCAGCAAGTTCCCGCAGGGGCTGGGAGAGGGTGCAGAGAGGAAAAGGACCTTGGATGGCTAGCCACCCGCCAAGATTTATGGGTGGCTCTTTAGCTGGCTATGGAGAGCAATGCTGTGCACATGTAGCACAGGCAATGGGGCTGCTGGGTGTCCCCTTCTCCCGCTGCTGCAGCCAGCTCTGTTTAGCCTGGAGGGAGTTCCTCCATTTCTCTGAGAGGAAGAGGAGGGCAGCAAAGAGAGGAGATGAGGGGCTCAGCCTCTCACATTTTGCAAGGGCCTCAATGTATCATATCCAGGCTCCTGGCTCAGACCACACTGGGCAAAACAGGAGCAGAGCAGAAGAGCAATGGCAAGGACAGGAGCAAATCCTTTCCTTGGGGCTCATCGTGATGGAGGGGCCCTGAACACCCGCTCAGCCTCCTCGAGGTGAAGAACCCAAAATCCTTTATCAGTAGCGCCTGAGGATGCTGCAACCCCAGGCTAGCGCAGAGAGGACCCCCCCTACCCCATGCCCATGGTCCCTTTGCACAGCAGCAGCTTGGCCTCAGATTAGGGCTGCTGTTTACCGAGCACAGGTCTGATTCCCACTTGCATCTTATGTCTGCAAGAGGCTGCTTTCCTGGAACTGATGCTTTTGCCTGATCCTTGCTAAGGTGCCCAGAAACCTGACGACTGGGATGCTCATAAATTAAAAGGCATGTGAATGATTGCTTTCAGAAAAAAACATCTAGTGGATTTTTCCACTCCATGCTCTCTGGACCTTTCCCCAGGAGAGCTCACTAAGAGTGGATGCTGTTACCCACCCCGGTCCCCTGCTGGGTTATAATCGTGGTCTTTGCCCTGTAGGATGGCATTAAGAGTCTGGAAAGGGCACAGTGTGCAGCGTGACACAGTCTTGGAGATGCTGCTTCTCCCCTGTGTTAGCAAACCCCCGGCTAACACAGACCACTCCCAGCCCCTGTCCCCCAAGGCTCCCACTGGCCAAAGCCACATGCTGAGATGCCAGGGACACCAAGGGGGGCCAGGACATCCCCATCAGTGTCCAAGGCCAGGTGTGACCATGCCAGGGGAAGACCTGCTCTCAACCTGCCAGCTGGACTGCAACCTCCATCCCGGTGGCATCATCGCTAACCCCAACCACCTCAATAAACCAGCCTGACCATCAGCTGGGATAAAAATTAATCCGACAATGCCCTCTGATGGTGGAAACAATGTCTGGTGTGGACAGTTCTGTGCTGGTGCTGAGCCCCTGGGAACAGCAGTACCCCCATGGACTTCAGCTTGGGCATGGAGAGTAGGTGACTGGGCGCAGACGGGGACAAAGCACAGGGGCTGTGCAGGAGAGATGCTGCAGAGAGGGGTCAGCTATTTTAGCCGTAGGCACTGCCTGGCTTTGCTCTCCAGTGGCACCAAGGGTGGGCTGGGCTCAGATCTGCGGGTGCGCAGGCTGGATTTGCACCCACGTTTGCAGTGCCAGGGCCTGTCGGGATATGCCTTTCTCTGGCATATGCAGGATCCAGGTCTGGCCCCATGACCAAGCTGGCACGTGGCTGGGAGATGCCCTCACCCACGTGCCAGACCCATCAGCCCGAGAGGGAGGTTGTGCTGGCGGAGGAGGTACACCGCGCTGCTGAACCCTGGTTAATGATGCACTTAGTCAACTTGATAGATCTGTCTGGGCTCTCTGTTAATAAACAGCACCTGACCCGAGCTGTCTCAGAGCTGTAAGTAACAAGTCATCTTTTTGCACATGAGCTATCAGTAGCTAATGGGGCCGATTCCTCTTCCTCCGGATAATGCATCGGCATGTCCTGCGCCGCCGTCTCATGCCACGGGGAGGGGATGCTGGTGGCAGTGCACGGCTGGATCATTGCATCACTGGCAAGATAAAGAAATTGTGCTTCGATGAAGAAGCATCGACATGCCACAGTTTTGATGTTGCTATTTTTTTCCCCCCCCAGCCAGAATCATTCTCCAGCTCCAGAAGGAAACTTTTCCCGATCCTCCTCCTTCTCCTTGTTGGGTTGCTTCTGGTTTAGTTTTCTTCATATGTATTTTATAAAGCTGGTCCTTTCTTTCCAAAAACCATCTCTTCCACCCATGGTTCAGTGAGATGCTATATGAACCCGTAGCATACCTGGTAGCTCTCTCCCCTCTACCTCCCCCCACCCAAGCCAACACCACAACAAGAAGGACAGAGTGGTTTGGGTTTTTATATAAGGACCAAAGCCCCTCAGATGGGCTCGTTTTATTGTCACAGCTAAGGACACATTCAGAGAGGAACATGCCATGGCAGGCTGAGGTGCAGACCCCCCCCAGAGCACTGCCAGGGAGGGGGCAGGCCCGCAGGCAGCAGAGGCCATGGCCAGGAGCATCACCATGTGCCACGCTACAGCACAGCAGCTGCAGCATCCACCTGGGGTAAAGGAACGAGATCTGAGTCCTGTGAGGGCACCACTGCCGAGAGACCAGTGGTCAGAGATGAGATGGGAAACCATGTCCCAGCTATAGCTCTAACGCAAGACAAACCCAGCCCAGCTCTTCCACCCTCTCCTGCCCCACAAAATTCAGATGCAACCCTTTAACTCTGCTTTTCCACCCCGCAGCCCCATTTCACACCCCTTTATACCTGCCCCCAGCCCCAGTACCTGCCCCTCATGTGCCTGGTGCCCCAGGTCTCTGAGCCCTGCCTGCAAATTTGGGCTCTGCCCACCATGCTGCCCATGCATCTGCCAGGCACACCAGTCTCCACATGCATCTTTGTCCTCCTGGCCATACATACAGCCCTCCCTCCACCTTGCAAAGGGGCAGCTTTCTCTCAGACTCTGCAGCATCCCACCCCACCAGTGCATCTCCAGCCGTGGGATGAGGAAGACCCGAGCTGGGGCTCCATCGGCAGGTGACAAGGGCTAATCCAGGACACTCAACCCACTCCATCCCCAATGAAGTGATCCACCCTCCCTCCATCCCACAGCCCCAACCCAGACCTACCTTGCTCTTTGTCTTGCCCTCTGATCTGTCCTCACTGGGGCACTGCAGGAGAGCACAGGAGATATAAAGCCCCTGAACTCCCCTCATCTTATTCCCCTTTTGACTTCCAAAAGTGAGCCAGGGCATAACCAACCTGCTCATGTGTGCACACCAGCGTGCACCTACGCACCCCATCCCTGTGCACACATGCTCCGAGCAATCACACACACCACCATCACTGCCTGCTCCTGGCCAGCTTGCCCCCAAGATCCCAGCCTGGGTGACTCCCAGGTGCTTTGTGTCCCCAGCACAATGACAAGCTCATCCTCCTGGCCGACTTCACCAAGCTGCCTGCATGGCTGCACTGACAGCCCTGCCTGCAGGGCAGTGTGGCCGGGGCCAGCTGGGTCAGTGCTCGCTGTACCGGCTGGAAGCCCTGGCACCAGCTGCTGCAGAGCCAAGCACTGACCCTGTGCCACACCGGCAGCCCTGAAGCTTCATCAGGGACCGAGGGTGCCTGGCGCCTGCTGGATTGGAGCCATGCCTGCGTGGGAAGTAGGGCAGAGCATGTCTCGGGGCAAGCGTGTGCTGGGAAGCCATGGGAGGAGAAATAATAAAAATGACATGTGTCTAAGGACACACCGCCACTTGAGGAATATGTGTGTAGTGTGTGGGCATGCATCCTCCTGCATGCCACGGCGGGTCTGCACCATGCAGAGGAGGCGTCTGTGGGGAGCAAAGCGGGGCACCTCCATGCAAGGGCTGGGCTGGGTTCTCTGCTGAGGCAGGGAAATGTGAGCTGGAAAGTCTGGGCAGGATCCCGAGACATGAATCAGAACAACCCAGGTGCAAGTGGAGGGGGTTCAGCACAGCCCCCGCACACATGGCTTGTGGATGGCTTGGGACACAAGTGCTGTTAGACGCAGTGAGGAGCAAGCGACTGTCCCAGCCTCCACCAGCACCTCTGGGCCTTTGGCTCTGCAGTTTCTGGTTTCCTCCTCATTTTTTGGCCATGAATGAGGGAAGGAGATTTCAAGATGCTTCAAGACCATAAACCCAAGAAGCCTGAAGCTCCAGATCTACAGGGCTGCCCAGTGTCCTTAGGTTCCCCCATCACCAGGATCAACACAAAACAGGGACAAACCACACCACTGTGAAAGTGAGAACAGGAAAAGGCAGGCAAGGAGACTTGCTCCTCTATCTCCTCGGCCAATCTTACCTTTCACATCAAGTTTGCAGTCTACTGAGGCTTCCCCCAAGGGGTTCACAGCTTTGCAGGTGTAGATGCCCCCATCAAAAGGGCTGGGCTTGCGGATTTCCAGGGAGCAGACGCCCTGCTCAATCATCGCTATGTATTTGGGGTCTTCCCGTATTTCCATCTGATTTTTCATCCAGATGATTTTGGGCTGGAAGGCAGCAGGATTTATTTGTTTGTTTAAAGTAGGGAGAGAAATAAGAAATCTAACTGGCCCCAAAATGGAGCCACCTCCCTCTGCCTTTGCCTTGGCCCTGCCTGAAGCTGGTGGCCATGGTGGGATTCACAGTCAGAAGTAGTTTGAAGAGCTAAATCTCCCATTGTTGAGCCCTAACCACAGCTCCACACTTCCTCCCCCAGTGCAGAAGGAAACAGGACATGGCTTGAATTAAGACCAGTCTCCCATCTCCATGCAGAAACACCCCAAACTTGCCCCAGTTTGACTCAGAGGGCAGCTGCAGCCCCCTAACCTCATCCAACCCTAACCCAACATGACCAACCGTCTCCCAACACCTCCAGCCTCCTTGCAAAAACCCCACTGGCGGCTGCCCACATGCAGAGGCGATGCTGTCCATGGAGGAACCACTGACCTGGGGGAAGCCCCTGACGCAGCAGAAGAGATGTGTGCTGTAGCCCCGGGTGGTGGTTCGGTCTGTCAGGGGCTGGGTGAACTTTGGAGGCTCCATCATGTCCCGCTCAGGGATCTTCTCTGGCTGGTAAGCAGTTTCTAAGAAAATAATTCTAGGTTAAGGCAGAGCTCGGGCTCCTGGGCTGACCAGCACATGGTCACAGGGATTCAGCCCAAGGTACCCCAAAATACTTCTGCTCCCTCACATAACAAGCCAGACCGCATCTAGCCTGACCCGAGGACCTGGCCTTCAGCTCAGACCAGCCCTGTCTATAAATCCCTTCTCATCCAACCATGCCATGTTAGTGCCCAGTCCCTGTGGGGGACAGGGGAGATGCCGGTCTGCAAACCAACACCGTGATGCATGCTATGTGCAGCATGTCGGATCCAGGCCAGGCACCTCTCTGGATCTCCTATTCCATCCCCAAAATTCAGTGCACAGAAATAGGAGCTGGAGGTAAGCTCTGCAGGTGGCAGAGACCCCAACTCACTGTGTGCTACCAGGGAGCAGGATGGAAATAGGTGGAGGGAGAGGGGGGCTGACGGATGCTGGTTTGGAGATTTGGCCCTGAGATGGACCACTGCAGGGGTCTGCACCACGCAGAGGAGGCGTCTGTGGGGAGCAAAGCGGGGCACCTCCATGCAAGGGCTGGGCTGGGTTCTCTGCTGAGGCAGGGAAATGTGAGCTGGAAAGTCTGGGCAGGATCCCGAGACATGAATCAGAACAACCCAGGTGCAAGTGGAGGGGGTTCAGCACAGCCCCCGCACACATGGCTTGTGGATGGCTTGGGACACAAGTGCTGTTAGACGCAGTGAGGAGCAAGCGACTGTCCCAGCCTCCACCAGCACCTCTGGGCCTTTGGCTCTGCAGTTTCTGGTTTCCTCCTCATTTTTTGGCCATGAATGAGGGAAGGAGATTTCAAGATGCTTCAAGACCATAAACCCAAGAAGCCTGAAGCTCCAGATCTACAGGGCTGCCCAGTGTCCTTAGGTTCCCCCATCACCAGGATCAACACAAAACAGGGACAAACCACACCACTGTGAAAGTGAGAACAGGAAAAGGCAGGCAAGGAGACTTGCTCCTCTATCTCCTCGGCCAATCTTACCTTTCACATCAAGTTTGCAGTCTACTGAGGCTTCCCCCAAGGGGTTCACAGCTTTGCAGGTGTAGATGCCCCCATCAAAAGGGCTGGGCTTGCGGATTTCCAGGGAGCAGACGCCCTGCTCAATCATCGCTATGTATTTGGGGTCTTCCCGTATTTCCATCTGATTTTTCATCCAGATGATTTTGGGCTGGAAGGCAGCAGGATTTATTTGTTTGTTTAAAGTAGGGAGAGAAATAAGAAATCTAACTGGCCCCAAAATGGAGCCACCTCCCTCTGCCTTTGCCTTGGCCCTGCCTGAAGCTGGTGGCCATGGTGGGATTCACAGTCAGAAGTAGTTTGAAGAGCTAAATCTCCCATTGTTGAGCCCTAACCACAGCTCCACACTTCCTCCCCCAGTGCAGAAGGAAACAGGACATGGCTTGAATTAAGACCAGTCTCCCATCTCCATGCAGAAACACCCCAAACTTGCCCCAGTTTGACTCAGAGGGCAGCTGCAGCCCCCTAACCTCATCCAACCCTAACCCAACATGACCAACCGTCTCCCAACACCTCCAGCCTCCTTGCAAAAACCCCACTGGCGGCTGCCCACATGCAGAGGCGATGCTGTCCATGGAGGAACCACTGACCTGGGGGAAGCCCCTGACGCAGCAGAAGAGATGTGTGCTGTAGCCCCGGGTGGTGGTTCGGTCTGTCAGGGGCTGGGTGAACTTTGGAGGCTCCATCATGTCCCGCTCAGGGATCTTCTCTGGCTGGTAAGCAGTTTCTAAGAAAATAATTCTAGGTTAAGGCAGAGCTCGGGCTCCTGGGCTGACCAGCACATGGTCACAGGGATTCAGCCCAAGGTACCCCAAAATACTTCTGCTCCCTCACATAACAAGCCAGACCGCATCTAGCCTGACCCGAGGACCTGGCCTTCAGCTCAGATCAGCCCTGTCTATAAATCCCTTCTCATCCAACCATGCCATGTTAGTGCCCAGTCCCTGTGGGGGACAGGGGAGATGCCGGTCTGCAAACCAACACCGTGATGCATGCTATGTGCAGCATGTCGGATCCAGGCCAGGCACCTCTCTGGATCTCCTATTCCATCCCCAAAATTCAGTGCATAGAAATAGGAGCTGGAGGTAAGCTCTGCAGGTGGCAGAGACCCCAACTCACTGTGTGCTACCAGGGAGCAGGATGGAAATAGGTGGAGGGAGAGGGGGGCTGACGGATGCTGGTTTGGAGATTTGGCCCTGAGATGGACCACTGCAGGGGTCTCTTCGTCTGCTGGCCCTGAGCTGCAGGGCTGCAGAGCCAGGGCTGTTCCTCACCCCTCCCAGCTCCTGCTTCGATCTCACCCCAGGGATGAGATCCATGCCTTCATCCCTCCCAGGGGGCTGACCATGGCACAAGCCTTTCCCAAAGGAGAAAGGAGGTGTAGAAGGAGGGCCTCTGGACCTCTGCCTTGGGGATGCACAGCCTCACCCCTTCAGGGCTCGTCCTGGGGACCAGCCCAGCAGCATCACCACAACACCAAGGAAGCCCCACTAGCCCCAACGGGGACAGAATCCCTCTTGCCCACCACCACCCCCAACCCCTTAGCCAGGGCCTTGTCCCCACTTGTCTTCTTGATGTGGGCCACCCCGGAGGTGACAGCTGCTTTCTCGCTCAGCCCACAGGCGTTTTCCGCGAACACCCGGAAGGAGTAGGTATTGCCCATGATGAGGTCAGAGATGGTGCAGCTGGTGCGGGTGCAGCGCTCCAGTGCCGTGAACCATTTCTGGAAGGAAAAAAAAGAGTGGTGAGGAAAGGCAGGCTGTCCAAAGGATGGAGAAGGTGTGGGGGGAGACAGGGGTGTGCAGCTCCCCCTCTCCCATCAGGACATCCCCAGCACCAGGGCATGGGGAGTGCCCAGACTCACCCCACTCTTCTTGTCTGACTTCTGCACCATGTAGCCCTTGATCTCAGAGTTCCCGTTGTCCACCGGAGGGGTCCACTCCAGGGCCACATTAAAGCCCCACACATCCACCAGCTTCAGGTTCTGGGGGGGGCCCGGTGGCTCTGCAAATACAATCCCTCACAGGGTGGCATCCTAATTTGCTCCCCCCACATTCTGTGCCTTGACCATCCCTTGCACCTCGCTTTCAATCTCTTCTCACCCTGTTGCAGCACACAAGGGATGAGAAGCTGTGATGGGCATGGGCTGGCAGAAAACCTGCCTCCCCAACCGGAGGAGTTCACCTCCATGATCCTGGAGAAGATCCCACTGGACAAGGGACCCCAGAGCCCTGTCCCATCCCACCCGGAACAAGAGCTACCCCAACCAAGGGGCAGAAATGAACCCCAGAGTGACCCTGCAGGGTCCCATCCCCAGCCTTACCAATCACTCGGATGTCCAGAGTAGCCTTGTCCTCCGCTCCGTTTATCCGCACAGCAAGCTCGTACTTGCCCGAATCGCTGCGCTGCGCCTCGCGGATGTAGAAGATGGTGTCCCTCTCCGTGTTGCGGATGTTGATGTGGCTGGTGTCCAGGGGCTGGTCACCCTTGGTCCAGATCACCTCAGGCTGCGGCCTTCCCTGGAGCAACCCGCACAGGCATGTTAGGAGCCGCTCGAGCGTACAGCCCCAACGGGTCCTGCTGGGAAGGACGGGTGGGCAGAGCCACCCCACTTTGTCCAGACAGCAGTGGCCTGGATACGGCCTCTCCCATCCAGCAGTCCCCAGGGAAGAAACTACAGACGATCCCTGCCAGCCCCACTGACGAGAAGCCATCAGGCTCCAGGGGTGATGCTGGAACATGCTGGTCACCCAAAGTCCTCATGGAGCAAGCCCAGTTTTAGTTGCCCAGGGCATTGCAGGCAGAGCTGTGCTCAGGTTCAAGCCTAGCAGCAAGGGCTTGAATTCAGCATCCAGGGCCAATTCATGCCTGGAGCATGGCCAGCGCAGGCTCCCAACCACCTATGAGACATGACATGGACATGTCCCTCATCTCAGGGGCAGCTTTCTGCCTCTTGCTTCCCCCTGCTTGGCCAGTATGTTTCAGGGCTGGTTTTCTCCATCGCAGACACCATAGTGGAGATGCTTTGGTGGTGCCCCAGACAGTATGCGATAGATAGTTGAGGAGAGGACCTCCAGCTTGGCCCACCAATGTCAGCATCTCTCCCTCCATCACACAGCCCTGGGGCTGCCCTGCTCCAAAGGCAGCTGCTCTCCCCAAGGGGACCCCCACTGTTGTGCTGTAGGGTCCTGTGGTATGTGGCCAGATCCCTGCCAGGCTCGGCCAGGAGCATGAGCTGAACAGGCTCGTGTGCTAGATAGTTGAGGAGAGGACCTCCAGCTTGGCCCACCAATGTCAGCATCTCTCCCTCCATCACACAGCCCTGGGGCTGCCCTGCTCCAAAGGCAGCTGCTCTCCCCAAGGGGACCCCCACTGTTGTGCTGTGGGGTCCTGTGGTATGTGGCCAGATCCCTGCCAGGCTCGGCCAGGAGCATGAGCTGAACAGGGCTCGTGTGCTGAGACAGCAGCAATAGCTAGCCCATGCCCTAGTGTGTTTGGCGTTGTCCCGTTGCCAACACCATCAATAAAGACATAGCAGAAGAAAAATGGGAGCTAGGCAGGAATGGGAGAGAAGTTCCCACCCCATCTCCCACCCTTGGCCCATGAGACATGGGGACCAGGACAAGCCAGCCCACAGCTGGCCCCAGGCATGCCATGGTGGCTAGAAAAGTCACTGCAGAAGCTAACCTGCAGTGAAAAAGCCTGGGGGATTAAATCCCAAATCGTCCACCTACCTGGAAAGGGATCATCATGTTCACAGCATCCCCAACACGCCTGACATAAGTCTGCCGCAGGTGACGGGGCATGCGGATCCTCGGGAGCTCTGGGGACCAGAAAGTCATGCCGTGGGGCCAAGGAAATCACAGCCCCCAACCCACCCCACACATCCGCCTGCTTGGCCATCAAGAAATCCTACCCAGAAACATGGCCACTTCTTTCCTCTCATCTCCTGGACAGTGATTGCTTCCCTGCAGGGTCATGCCAGCCTACC